GCCGAACGATGGAGGCTTACATCGATGACATGCTGGTCAAGAGTCGGGACCGATCCGACCACACTCGGGACCTTCGGGAGTGCTTCCAGATCATGAGGAAGTACCAGTTGCGGCTGAACCCGACCAAGTGCACATTCGCGGTTCAGACCGGCAAGTTCCTCGGCTATATGATGACCAAGAGAGGAATCGAGCCTAACCCGGCCAAAGTAAAAGCGATTCTGGACATGCAGCCACCTTCCACCGTTCGGGAAGTCCAGCAATTGACCGGTCGGTTGGCAGCCCTCAGCCGGTTCCTCTCCAAGCTAGCCGAGCGCGCTTTACCTTTCTTTAAGGTATTGCGGAAGGTTAATGGATTCGTCTGGGACGAAGAATGCCGAGCGGCTTTTGACGAGCTGAAGGAGTATCTCATGTCACCAATCGTGCTCTCAAAGCCCGAGCTCAGAGAAGAGCTAGACGTGTACCTCGCCGTGTCCGATCGCGCAGTAAGCGCAGTGTTGTGCCGAACCGATCCGGAAGGGGTTCAGCGACCGGTGTACTATGTAAGCCACGCGCTACATGGTCCCGAGCTCCGGTACTCCCGGCTAGAGAAGGTCGTCTATGCCTTATACATTGCCGCGAAGAAGTTGGCTCCCTACTTCCAAGGTCGAGCAATTCGCGTGTTGACCGATCAGCCGATCGGGCCAGTCCTCCGAACTGCTTCATCATCAGGCCGCCTAGTCAAATGGGCGTTAATGTTGACCCAGTACGCGATCGAATACCGACCAAGACCGGCTATTAAAGGTCAGGCTCTTGCGGACTTCTTGGTTGAGTGCACCGCCCGGGATACCCGGCCCCCTGAGGTTGCGGATCCCGAGGCTGAGTGGTGGTCGCTGGCTACAGATGGGTCGAGTAGCAAGAAAGGAGCAGGGGGAGGAGTGGTGGTCACGAGCCCGGAAGGATTCAAGGTCTATTTTGCTCTTATGTACCAGTTCCACCCGACCAACAACGAGGCCGAGTACGAAGCGTTCGTTAACGGCTTGCAGTGCGCTCGGGACTTGGGGGCTGAATACATCCGAGCTCAGACAGATTCCGCGCTCGTGGTCGGGCAAGTTCTCGGAGATTACGAAATCAATGGAGAACGTCTGCAGCTTTACCGAGATCTTGCCATGGAGAAGCTTGCTCAGTTCCGGGGATATACCGTCCGGCACATACCCCGATTGGATAACGCCGATGCAGATATCTTATCCAAATTAGCTCAAGACGCCCCTGAACACATGTCGAAGATAGCTCGGATCTTGGTGATCCCGAGGCACAGTATTCACCGTCTACCGGTCAATCCCATCCAACCGGTAGAAGACAGTTGGATCACTGATCTGAAGGAGTACCTCGAGCACGGTCGCCTCCCAGACGACCCACAGCGTGCTCGGAAGGCCAAGCTTCGAGCCCCAAGGTTCCAAGTCTTGGACGGTCGTCTATATCGACGATCGTATGGAGGCCCCCTCATGCGTTGCTTGACCGCATTTGAGGCTGAGTTGGTCATGAAGGAGCTACACTCGGGAATTTGCTCTTCGCATCAAGGAGGCCGATCCCTGGCCCGTCGTATCATGCTGATCGGGTACTATTGGCCGTCCCTCCAGCTAGACTGTGAAAAGTTAGCTCGGGAATGTGAGACGTGCCAACTGTACGCCCGGATGCCTGGACGACCGGCAACCTTCTATCAACCGGTCACGACCGCAATTCCCTTCGCTAGGTGGGGGGTAGATATCTTGGGCCCCTTCCCTCAGCTTTCCGGTCGGAGAAAATTCGTGATCGTCGCCATCGATTACTTCTCCAAGTGGATAGAAGCCGAGCCTTTAGCCACGATCACTTCTCAGCAGTGTGCTCGCTTCCTTTGGCGCAATGTGGTTTCCCGCTTTGGTGTGCCCGTGCATCTCATCAGCGACAACGGCCGCCAATTCGTAAGCCAATATTTCCAGAACTTCTTGGCCACGATCGGGACGACTCACGTCCGGTCGTCGGTGGCTTACCCTCAGGGAAACGGTCAAGTGGAGAACGCGAACCGGACGATTTTGGAAGGTCTGAAAAAGAAGTTACACTCGGCTGGTCGTAGTTGGGCCGATGAGTTGCCATATGTTTTATGGACTTATCGGACGACCCCGAGGGAAGCTACTTTGGAAACCCCTTTCGCCCTGGTTTATGGAGCAGAAGCCCGACTCCCGATCGAGGCTTGGATCCCGACCGATCGAGAGAGAACCTACAATGCCGAGGAAAATGAACATGCCATGGCGGTGGATCTCGATGGGGTCGAAGAAAAAAGAGAGCTAGCCGCTCGGCGCATAGCCGAGTATCAGAAGCGCGTCAAGAGTTCTAAAGATGTTCGGGTCAACCCTCGTTATTTTCAGGTCGGAGACTACGTTCTACGACGAAGGGAGGCCAGTCAACCTCTAGAGGGTGGAAAGCTAGCTCAGAATTGGGAAGGGCCGTACATCATCAACGCTGTCATACGGCCGGGTACATACCGACTAGAGACAACAGCTGGTCGGCTAATCGAGGGGACTTGGAATTCCGAGCACCTCGTTCTTTTTAGGCATTAGCCTATTTTTTGTATTTTCTAGACGAAGTGGGGGCTTGACCTGCGAGTTAGTCCCGGTCGTCATTTCTATGTAAATTTATGGTTGTAAAATTAATTCAACCGCCTGCGAGCGGGAAAGTTTAATGTATATACGATCGATGATTGCTCGACCGTTTGTATGCGGCGGCCCGATCGGTTATTTTCTTTCACCCTCGTTACATGCAGATCAATTCAACATTCAATCAATCGGGCGAAGTCTATTGACCGGTCAAAACGCGCTCCACATTGGCGGACACCCAAGTCATGCCACTGATCGGGGAAGCCAGGAGCTCTCAGCATTATTCCCCGATCCGTCCAACTTCTGTCCACTATTGCACCCACTCGTGACTCGAGCGCACAATAGTGTGGGGCTGGGATAAGGAAGTATTTGCAGGCCCGTCGCTCGGTTACATTCCGACCGTAGAGGCTTGCTTTCAAAAATTTTTCGACAAAGGCCCGGAGATCGGGTAAACCCGATCGGTTGGCCAGATTTGACGTCGGAATATCGAACGCACGACCAGGCCATAAGGTCGTAAGGTCGGGCGTTGAGCGGATCGAGTATTGCGAGACCGGGTCTAAAGGCCAGGTGGTCGAGTGATTATGATCAGTGTGTGCAAATTGAAAGCAAGGAAACAAGAGACGAGCGACGCAAGATAGAGCAAAAAACAAATTTTATTAACTAACAAAAGCTGCCCGGTACAATTCGGGACTGGGCTCCCGATCAATGTTCATTACAAAAAGAAGAAAAGAAGCCTACTCTATTTTTTTCGTCTCCCGAGCTCCAGCAGCCGCCTCCTTCCCGCTTGAGGTGACTGCCGTTGATGCCCCGGCTTCAGACGCCTTGGCTTTTGGGGCGAAGGGAGAGGGACCGGGATCGGCTAGGTCTGGGGGTAATGCCGAGAGGACCAGCTGGAGGTCTTCCCCGTCTAGAGCCTGCTCCAACCGGGAACGGACTCGTTCAAGCATCTTCCGTTTCCCGGCCGTAAAGCCCCAGCGACCGAACGAGACGATCAGCTCTTCCCCGATCTCTGTTCCCCGGGCTGCTGTAAGGAAGGCCGAGCCCAAGTCCTTGTCTTTGAAGGCTGCCCGCGCCAGCTCGCTCGGATTCTCGAGCTGAGCCTTCAGCTCCTTGGCCTCTCCAATCGCCCGACTGGCGACCTTCTCGGCGAGGACCCGCTCCTCGTCGCCCTTCTTCAGGGCCTTTTGCGTCTTCTCCAGCTCGGCCTGGAGCTCCTTGATCTCCTTCAGACGACGAGCGGCCGTCTTTTTATGATGATCAGCTTCCTCGGCCAGCATAGCCTGACCTTGAAGGAGTTGGGTCGCCCGGGAGATCTGCAGTACAAAAGGGTATTCAGGGTTAGCCCAGTCAAAGATACTTGGGCAAAGAAAGATTATAAGTTGGGAAACTCACCTCAGCCAGGTCGTGGCCGATCCGTTCAGCCACCTGGGTCGGGGTCATCTTCCCCAGATCCACTCGGGCTGGCGCGGCGTTGCCGATCCGTGCCAGCACGGACGTAGAATCCCTTTCCCGCCCGACCGAAGGGCTCGGGCTGTGTTGGTCACGGCGGCGCTTCATGCCGCCCACCTCGGTCGCGCCCTTGTCGGCGACCTTCTCCTTTCCCCGAGCGACCTCTACCCGGGTGACCAGGACGTCAGGCTGCTCGACGACGAAGCCCTCGCCCGTCGTCACGGTCGAGGCGCTCAGAGGTCGGGCAGAGGGAATTTCCTTCTCCCCAGCCGCTTTGGTCTTGGCCTTCTTCTTCCCGCCGAGGGAGATCTTGGCGGGCGGGGGAAGGGCGGTGTCTTCATCACCGAATTCTGCCATGGCTGCAATAAAAAGAGCTAAGTTAGTTTGATCAAGAAATGAAGCTAGGTCGGGAGGAACAGCTCGAGCTAAACCTTTCTTCTTTCGTTTCGACGGCTTGGCGACCGTCACGCCCATCGGTACGGGCAGGTACTTCTCCCTTAGCTCGTACGTGGGAGGCGGGAGCTTGGCGGCTGCGAGACTCTCGGCTGTCCGGAAGATGGAATACTCGTGTATTTCACTCGAGATCCGAGTGACCGTCTCCTTGAGCGCCTGAGTCACGCCCGGCACCACTTGCTTTCTGAAGTGGCTGCTCCAAGTGCGGTCGACCGGGAGGATCCAGGGGTCGTATTTGATGGAGAAAATTCGATTCTTCCACCCCTTGTTGTTCCCGGGCAGGCCTTTGATGGCGCACATATCTGCTCGGGATTGCAGCATCAGGAACCCGCCCCCGTAGCGGCCCGGGAGAACCTTGATCTGGTAGATGAAATTGAACAGCTCCATCGTGCACTCGGCCTCGTGCCGAGTGCATATCTGCGGGAAGCAGGCGAGGATCCGATGTGCGTTCGGGCAGATCTGAGCCGGAACGACCCGATAGTATGCTAGAAAGGCCGTCAAGAGGGCCGGGAAGGGAATGACAATCGGGGCCATTAGGGAGTCGTAATGCATCCCGATCCACTTGCCCCGATGCCTGTCAATTACATTCCCCAGCTGCCGGCTCGTGTCGAACTCTACCCGACCCTGGAGTACTTCAGCAATCCGAGCCGCTTCGCCTTTGGTCAGCAGGCTCATTTCTTGCTCGACACTCTCGCTGTTCAAGAATTCGAGCTCGACTGCTGGTGTGGCCGGCCCGGCCGGGTCTTCTTCGGTCTGCTCGGGGGTATTTTCCCGATTACCCCCTCGAGGAGCAGCTTCCGGGTAGTCCCCAACCACCCGGGTAGGCGTTTCCCTAACGCCCACGGTCGGAGAACCCCGCCCATTCGACGTGGTTCTCTCTTCCTCGTCTTCGCTGGAGCTCCCCGATCCGCTGGAGCTAGAGCCCGACGTCCCGGAAGAGCTTGATGCGTTGTTATGCTCGACGGCTCGCTCAGGGGCTGACGTTGCTCGGGGGCTGGCTTCGGGAGTGTAGGACATAATGTCCACGTCCTCGCCGCTGATGTGCTCGACCTCCTCGTCATAATCCGCGATCGAGGCGTTTTGACTGTCAGAATCCGTCATTTCGCTCTACCTAAAGGTCGGTCGGGGTTAGTAAAGGACTTGAGTCGTCCGGGACAGTTAGTTGACCTAGCAGTTCTACCTATAGTTGAAAGCGTGAAGTAAAGAGAAGGAGGGAGAGCTTACCGGATGAAGGAACTTTGCGAGAGAGAGCTTGAAATTTGTTTGCTCGATCGCCTTGCTGAGATGCTCTGCTCGGGATTCTTAGAGGATACCGACTGAAGCAAAAGAGTGAGGAAAGTTCAAATGAGGGCCTCAAGGGCCTATTTATAGGAGGGCATTTAGGCGGGAAATTGGCCAACTTGCCTGACACGACCCGCGCTGAATCCGAGGCGACGGATGGGATCGCCGAGGCCGGCAGAGGCCGACACGTGGCGTAGGAGGGAATGACAGCTGGCAGGTCGGCTTGGTGGCTGACGGTTGGGCTTCTTCATCCCGTCCCGTTTTTTCCCGACTGATCAAAAAGGCCCGGGCTGGGGGACTTTTGGTAGGGAATATCCCGACCGACATAAGCTCCACCACGACCGACTTGCCTTTGTCTTTCTCTTCTGATCTTTGCAGGTGGCAGGTCGGGCTTTTTCCGTGGAGACCCCGGTCGGGAATGGCCGGAAGTTGCCCGAACGCTGGTGTCGACCACCGAGCGGTAGCCCTTGGACGAAAGAGCTGCCAAAAAGGACGCGAAGGGACGCGTGGCGGTTCTTTATGCTGACAGGCAGGGCACCCGGGAGGTTGACACGTGGTGGCTACGTGGAAGACATGCCGAGCGGCCGGAATCTTGTCCCCGGCACGGCGGCTATAAATACCCACAGTAGCTACAGTGTAGAGGACTTTTGGACGATCGATAGGTTGTTGTTAGAGAATCCCGACCGCAGTCAGTCGGTACTCAGAGCAACCAAGTAGATTGTACTTAGGGCCTTTACCGGGATTAATAAAGATATTTACTCGCTTTAATCGGTCTCGTGTTGTTATATATTGCTTACGTAGAATTAGCAGTATCAATATATATATATATATATATATATATATATATATATATATATATATATATATATATATATATATATATTGATATATATATATATATATATATATATATATATTGATAGGTTATATATTCCGGGTCCGTGTTCCCGTTACGTTTATAGTCGAATCGGGGTCAAGCGGTTCGGATCTCGGTCTATGGGTCAAACCCGCCACCTCCTTGACCCCATAAAAGGGCCTTTGGCCCTCTTGGTTAAGGGTCCTCTTCTTCAGTCTGGACTAGCTCACTCTCTCTCTCTCTAAATTCTCTCTACATACAAGAATACAACATGAATAAAAGTGTTGGAATAATGGATTACATGAATGAACGAGAAGCAGAGATAGAGCAGATTGAAGAAGAAGAAGACTGTTATTCTAATTCTCAAAAGATAGCTTTACACGTTGATATGTATATATAGAAGATGAAACGAAAAGAGGGAAAGAGGGAAAGGACAATTTTATCCTCCAACACCCCCCGGTAAGCTGGAGCGTGTAGATCATGCACGCCCAGCTTAAACACAAAAGAACTCCACAACTCCAGTTTTCCATTCAAACTCTGTGCTGCCTTTGCATGTTCAAGTTGAGCAAATTGAACAGAGCCAAAACCTTTGCAATGTCCTGTTTCTGGATTGGTAGGTAGCTGCACAAGCTCAACTAGACCAAAAACTTCAAAAATTTGTTTAAGCTGTAATTCTGTCATGTTGAAATGCAAATTTCCAACATACAATTTCCTTTCTGATGCATCATCAGCTTTAGGGATGCCACTTCCTTTTTTTCATGCTTCTGTTCAGACAGCTCAACTGTATTTACATCATCAAATGCAGTAACAAGAACGTCAGTTTCTGAAACATTAGGTGTAACCATGCTCTCAGACAACTTGTCATCTATCTCACTAAATGGTTCAGATGATTGAACAGAGGCTGATAATTTTACAATTGCACTATTAGGATCATCAGCATGCAGTGCTTGCTCAAGCAGTACATGAACTGAATCCGCACTTGGAGGCTTTGTTTCTACTGAAGGAACTATGCCAATTAGAATGGACCTGCTACTTACAACCGCTCCATTTAAAACGGCCTTACGAACACCTCGAAGAACCTCCCCCAAATTTTCTGCTGGAAAATCTCGAGGAGCAACATCAGGGAGGTGGAAAAAGTGTGCCGGTGAAACGAGGAAGAAGAAGATACAACTTATGGAGATCATTTTGACCCGGCTGGATCTCCTTCGACCCATCTTCAATCCGATCCGAGATTTAGAGGACGAATCAGAGCCTAAACCTAAACTTCCACACATTACAACATTCTCTGCAATAGCAATATCAAAACTACCAGACCGATTAAGGACCACATTCAGGCGGCAAAGAGAGAGAGACAGAGCGAGAATAAAAACTCTAATCGTCATTGCTTTCTGAACGAATTTCAGATCGAGAGACACAACCGCTGTGGCTGAATCGGAAGACTGTTCCATCTGCTTCAACCGGTGTGAGCTACGAACTCCTTCCTTCCGCTGCGGAACGACTGTGGAGGTTACTTGTACTGGAGATCGACTCAAAATCAACGGACGCACTCCTTCCTTCCGCTGCGGAACGACTGTGGAGGTCACCGGGGAGATCGAGCAATTCGGATTCTCCTTATCTTCTAGATTCCTCTGCGGAATCGTTGCTGCGCTGATGATCGACTACTCTGCGTAGCAATCGGATTGATTGGCGATGCGCGAACTAGAGGCTTAACAATCGACATCGCCGAATGAGCCGTTCTTTGACTCGATTTTCCGGTGACGGTGACAGCGGTGGCGTCGGCTTTGTTGCTACTCTCCGTAGCAATAATCCTCTGCGGATTAATCGGACCTCTGCGGATTGATCGGAGATGCGCGATGGTCTTCGGATGAACCTCTATTTGATTCGGTTCTCCGGCGTCGATAACAGCGGCGGCGTAGCTGCCTCGCCGCTCTGATACCATGTTGGATTAATGGATTACATGAATGAACGAGAAGCAGAGATAGAGCAAATTGAAGAAGAAGAAGACTGTTATTCTAATTCTCAAAAGATAGCTTTACACGTTGATATGTATATATAGAAGATGAAACGGAAGGAAAGAGGGAAAGGACAATTTTATCCTCCAACAAAAAGAGTGGGTTTTTGTTCTACATCCTCTTGTCCTTTATATTGTTCATACACATACCGCCACGAGAGGTCCGTGTCCTCCCTTTTTTCCAGTCAGCATCCCAACTGCCAAGAAGGGGTTTCCACGTCTTGAGTTAGACGAATCCAAGCCTAGAAGTTTTGGAGTTAAAAAGATTTGAACCCAGGTGTTCAAATCATCAAGCCAATGCCCCGACCACTACACCACTCTACTCACTAGTTCATTTTCTCTGCTTGTTGCCATTTGAAAATCCAGGGTAGGCCATTTTTGTTTCCAGGCGCAATCTGGATAAAGAACCAACTGCATGCAGATGATCAATCGTCCATCAGACTTCATTTCCACTAGAAGCTCAATCGCCATCCTCACACTCCCGATTAAGGCCGGAGATTCCAGGGCCGCCGCTCGTCGCAATCCTTCGCCGGAGCTCCGTACCCGCAGCTTCTCTCCGAGCAACCTTCTCTCTCTCTTTCAGTTGGAAATCCAGCCAATAAAAGTATCAGAACAGGTTCTATAAACCAGGAGACCTCGGCTCGAGTCATGGATGGAGTCATCAGCACTTAGCCATTTTCGTCATGCACCACCGCCACATCCTCGCCGGTCATCTCGTCTCTAGAGGTCATCGCATGCACAACAGTGGCCTTGAAAGGAAAAGAAAAGAAAAGAGGCAGAGGTTCAAAATCCCATCAGTTATCTCCCTTTTTTCCGTCACGGTGGTGTGGCACCACGCCAGACGCCCAGGTCCGCCGCCGCCATCGCAATTCCAGAAGACCGCCGGCCTGGCGCTGGCTTCGGCTTTGCATGGTCTGGTTCCCTTGATTGCTCTGGTCGTGAGACGGCAGCATTTCTGGTGTGTTCTTCCTACGTTGGTGAAGAAACACATCTTAAAAAAGGGGATGAGGGTAGATGGTGGCGGAGGAATTATTCAAGATAGATGGTGGCGGTGGAATTGTTCTAAAAAAAGCAAAAGAACTATAAAGTGGGTTGCTGCATGTAATATGAATGGCTGCGTGTGGTGGTGGGGTGAGATAACCAAGAGAGTGGAGAGAAACGAAGTCCTCTAAATTAGAGTTGACCGTAGATTAATTTGTATTTGTATTTCGTACAAAGTATGGGCCTTTTACTTAGAAAGCTACAAGTAGATTATGAGTTGTATAGGCCCAACTATAGGTTAGAGCTCATACTTAGAAATTGTAATAGTTAGATTAATTGTAATAAGTCCGGTTAGGTTGGTATTTCCACCACCGGCACCCTAAGCACTGTCAGGTCGGTCGCGCCACCTCGGGCTTACGACTGCAATGTCGTTAAACTTTTTCCGGCCACAACCGATGAGGGCGAAAGCCCGATGACCCCAATGTCGCTTAAACTTGTCCGGTAACACCGGTGAGAATTTTCCTGGCCCCAACCGATGAGGGCGAAAGCCCGACGACCCCAATATCGCTTAAACTTCTCCGGTAACACCGGTTAGAATTTTTCCAGTCCCAACCGATGAGGGCGACAGCCCGACGATCACAATGTCGTTTAAACTTGACCGGTAACACCGATGAGAATTTTTTCGGTCCCAACCGATGAGGGTGACATGCCGACGACCACAATGTCACTTAAACTTGTCCGGTAACACCGGTGAGAATTTTTCGGTCCCAATCGATGAGGGCGACAGCCCGACGACCACAATGTCACTTAAACTTGTCCGGTAACACCGGTGAGGGCGATAGCCCGATGACCAGTAATGTCGCTTAAACTTTTACCACACCAAGATCGAAGCTGACGAGGTTCCTTTAGCTTTAGTTCCAGTTATGTTTCCAAATCCGGTTAGGTCGGCATGGCCACCACCGGCTTGGTCAGTTCGAGATCCCATCTCGATTTTAAACCCTACAAGTTAGGCATCTTTTTGACCGGGTAGATTGGCCTTGCCACCACCGGCGTTTTAAAGACCAGTTAGGTTAGCTTCGCCGCCACTGGCGTTCTAAGACCGGTTAGGTTGGCCTTGCCACCACCGGCGTTTCAAAGACCAGTTAGGTTCGTTTCGCCGCCACTGGCGCTCTAAGTCCGGTTAGGTCGGTATTGCCACCACTGGTCATGTTAGCACCGAGATCATATCTCTTGTTTAAAGTCCTACGAGGTAGGCATTTCTTAAGACCAGTTAGGTTGGCCTTGCCACCACCAGCCCAGTTAGCCTGAGATCGTATCTCGGCGTTGAGACCTACAAGGTAGGCAGTTGAGCCCGCGCGGTCGGGCATCCCATCCTTTGATCACTTGATCGTGTTTTAAAAATCCGATCACTTGATCGGTAACGCGTAAAACCTCTACCCCGCTAGAGGTCCGATCAATCGATCGGTCGGTTCAATATTCGTAAAGTTCCAAAAGTCCTATAAATTAGGCAAGTCGACTGGTAGTGCACCGACGCTGTGAGCTCGGTCGAGTCACTTCCCGGTCATCGACGCTATGAGTGTAGTGCGGTGCATTCACACGGTGGGCTCGGTCAGGTCATTTCCCGATCGCCGTCAAAGTTAGCAAGGCGAACCTGACAACCCATTTTGTCTACTCCCTTATGCTGACGATTCTCGCACCTAAGGGAGTGGGGGGCTGCATCGGTAGAGTAGCTTGTTCGCTTCTTTGTTTTCCCGAGTGGATCGGTCAAGTGTGCTTGTTCGCTTCTTAGTTTTCCCAAGAGGATCGGTCGAATCGCGTTCACCAAAGCACTTCCCGAGTAGACCGATTTAGCTCGTTTACCGAAACGCTTCCCGAGTAATTCGAGTCGTTTATCAGTCAAATCGCGTTCATGTCACCATAGCGTTTAGCTCGTTCGTTGGTCGAATCGTGTTCGTTTCACTCGAGTAGCTCTTTCGTTGGTCGAAACGCGTTCGTGTCGCCAAAAGCGCTTCTTGTTCGCTTCGCTAAAGTTTTCCCGAGTAGAACGAATCGTTCATCGGTCGAATCGCGTTCGTTTCACCAAATCGCTTAGCGCGCTCATCGTTCGAATCGCGTTCGTTTCACCAAATCGCTTAGCGCGCTCATCGTTCGAATCGCGTTCGTTTCACCAAAAGCACTTCCCGAGTAGACCGACTTAGCTCGTTTACCGAAGCGCTTCTTAAATTGACCGGCTTTCCCGATCTCGTCGTCATTTCTCGATCAAAAAGACTTTCCTAATCTCATGATCGTTAGACCCTCAGGTCTTGTAGCGACCCCTTCACTTGGGGGCTCTCGGTTCATAAACTGAGTATAAAAGGGAGCGCACTCCCCATTCAACTGATTGTTGTTTCCTAGATCGACATCGCTTATTCTCTCAAACCGCGCTAGAATCCAATCGATAGACCGCGCTAAAAATCCCATCTCCCAATTGGTATAGGTCAATCCCTAGATCAGTGCAAGTTTGATTTCTTCATAAATCTCCAGATCGCAATCAAATCGACCGCCCGGTCACGTGCAACAGTCCAGTCGTTGGACCGGTTGAGTTAAACCTTTTCGAATTGCGTTACAAGTCCGACCACTAGGTCGGGCGCTCTCTTTTGGTCCACCAGACTGTGTTTGGCGTTGTACTCTTTTTCCTTGGTTAAAGTTTTTTCCCATGGGGTTTTTTGTTAGCTCAAGGTTTTTAACGAGGCAACCTGCACATGTCACGGACCGTGTAACCAGTTTTTCCAGCCCGAACCCTTCCTCGCTAACTCGTCGTCAGGACACGGGCTGGGGAGGGCTTCATGATAGGTTATATACTCCGGGTCCGTGTTCCCGTTTATAGTCGGGTCTGGGCACTATAAAACTGGCCACCTCCTTGACCCTATAAAAGGGCCTTTGGCCCTCTTGGTTAAGGGTCCTCTTCTTCATTCTGGACTAGCTCACTCTCTCTCTAAATTCTCTCTACATACAATAATACAACATGAATAAAAGAGTGGGTTTTTGTTCTACATCCTCTTGTCCTTTATATTGTTCATACACATACATACATTCACTGTGTACTACCGGGAATTAGTACTGTCATATATATATATATATATATATATATATATATATATATATATATATATATATATATATATATATATATATATATATATATATATATAGATTTTGAATCCGGTGCAACCCCCTAGTTGGATGAGTTCGTGAGCACACTCCCTGGTCGTTGATTTATTTTGATCAATGGTTCGTATGGTGTTGTGTTTATTCCCCATGTGCGCGTATTTCTTAAGGAAAGCTGGGGTGTTTTTGTCATTTGGCTTATGCTTTTATTATCTAATTGCTTTATTTTCGCTGTGTGGGTAGTGATTTATTAGTCTTCTCTTTTCGTTTTCTACGCTCTGCTCACGGTGGAGTCTGTATTCCTGCGCATCTCATCTCCCTTGTCGATTCTTCTTCCTCTGTTCGAAGCCTCACAGCGATTACCCGGCTTCAAAGTCTCCATGGTGGGTCTAGCAGGATGCAGTCCAAGCGGATTAGGGGGATATCATCTTCGTCAGGTACGGGTTCTATTGTTCGCCTTTTTTTTTGTTTGTTTTGTGGGGGTTTTTCTGGATTTTGGTTGGTTTGTTACTGTAGAGAAGGGGATTGGGTTGGGATTTAGGGTTTTCGATTACTTGTGCGTTTGAAGTTGATGGTTTTGTGTTTTTTCTTGGGGGTTATCACAGGTTGGTTGTGTTCGTCGTTGTACGTGGGGTTTGGGGGGGGGGGGGGGGGGGGGGGGGAGGGGTGTGCGAGTATGACTGCGGGTGTTTGTTTGATTTCTGGGTTAGGGTTTGGGGGATTTGCAGTTTGGCTTTTTTTTTCTGTGCGTAGTGGTGACTCACTTTGTGCATGTTGCGTTAATCTGGACTTGACATTACAGGGTTTTTAATTTGGGTGCCTGGTCTGTGCGTAGTGGTGCACTACCATGTGCGTGGTGGGGTTAATATGGTCTGGACATTACATTTTTATTTTTATACACATTTGCTTTAGTAGTTGCTCATGGGGTTGGTATTCTATGGTGTTTTGGTTTGGGGTTTGGGATTGTGCATCATGTGTGTTTTGTTTTCTGTTTTTTTACTTCACACATCACCGTGGTGGGTTTTATTTACATTGCATAGGTGAAGTTAAATTAAAGTTATAAGGTTGAATTACTCTGTAAAAAAAT